TTTCCATCTCTGGGCTATTGTAAATAGAGCTGCAATGAACACTTTGGAACTCTTTTTGAATTTTGGTTTTCTCAGGGTATATGCCCAGTAGTGGGATTGCTGGGTCATATGTATTTTTAGTTTTTTAAGGAACCTCCATACTGTTCTCCATAGTGGCTGTACCAATTCACATTCCCACCAGCAGTGCAAGAGGGTTCCCTTTTCTCCACACCCTCTCCAGCACTTATTGTTTGTAGATTTTTTGACGGTGGCCATTCTGACCGGTGTGAGGTGATAATGTCATTGTAGTTTTGATTGCATATCTCTAATAATTAGTGATGTTGAGCATCTTTTCATGTACTTTTTGGCCATCTGTATGTCTTCTTTGGAGAAATGTCTGTTTAGGTCTTCTCATTTTTTGATTGGGTTGTTTTTTGTTATTGAGCTGCATGAGCCATTTGTATATTTTGGATATTAATCCCTTGTTGGTTGCTTTGTTTGCAAATATTTTCTCCCATTCTGAGGGTTATCTTTTTCTTTTGTTTATGGTTTCCTTCTGTGCAAAAACTTTTAAGTTTAATTAGATACCGTTTGTTTATTTTTGTTTTTACTGTCATTACTTTAGAAGGTGGATCAGAAAAGATCTTGCTTCGATTTATGTCAGAGAGTGTTCTGCCTCTGTTTTCCTCTAAGAGTTTTATAGTATCTGCCCTTACATTAGGTCTTCAATCCATTTTGAGTTTATTTTTGTGTATGGTGTTAGGGAGTGTTCTAATTTCATTCTCTTACATGTAACTGTCCAGTTTTCCCAGCACCACTTATTGAAGAGACTGTCTTGTCTACATTGTATATGCTTGCCTTTGTTTTGTTGTTGTTTAAAATATTTATTTATTTATTTACTTATTTATTTTTTGCGGTATGTGGGCCTCTCACTGTTGTGGCCTCTCCCGTTGCGGAGCACAGGCTCTGGGCGCACAGGCTCAGCAGCCGTGGCTCACGGGCCCACCTGCTCCGCGGCATGTGGGATCTTCCCAGACCAGGGCACGAACCCGTGTCCCCTGCATTGGCAGGTGGACTCTCAACCACTGCGCCACCAGGAAAGCCCTAAAATATTTATTTATTTTGGCTGTGCTGTGTCTTAGTTATGGCACACAGGGTATTTGTTGTGGCATGTGGGATCTTTAGTTGCAGCATACAGACTTCTTAGTTGTGGCATGTGGGCTTCTTAGTTGCAGCATGCAGAGTGTTAGTTGTGGCATGCATGCAGGAACTAGCTCCCTGACCAGGAATCACATCCTGGGCTCCCTGCATTGGGAGCGTGGAGTCTTACCCACTGGACCACTAGGGAAGTCCACTTGCCTCCTTTGTTTTAGATTAGGTAACCATTCATCAGTTTCTTAAAAAGCAGATTGTCAGAGATTGGGATTTAGTGAGTCTGGGATGTATGAAAGAAATCTGTACTTTTCAGTTGTCTCTCATAGTTATGTGAAAAGAGTCCCTTATTTATATTATATTGAAAAAAATTACCAAAACAATAGCAATTGCAATTCAACAGTTTATATTGAGTGTTTATACTTGAGAACCACAGCACTGAACTTGGGTAATGTGGTCTTTGTCTGCTTGGAGCTCACAATCCAGTGGGAAATAATGGATCAGTAAACCGACAGTTACAATACAATGTGTAAGCTGTTATAAGTCAAAGAGGGTCACTTAAATCAACTGGGTGAGTCAGGGCCTTCCTCTTTGCAGACAAACATCTAAACTGTGACTTAAGCGCTCATTAGGAGTTGAGTAGGTGAAAGGAGATGGAAGAAGGAAAACCAAGTGGGAATGGCATATAGGAATGATGGCCTATTCAAGGAATAGAAGAAATTGACTATGATTTGCTTAAGGGGACAGCTAGGATAAGCAGGAAGTCCAGAGAGGCAACCGGCTTCAGAGCATGCAGAGCCATCCAGGCCGTGTAAAAAGTAGAGATTTAATTCGTAAGAGCAATTGGGAAGCTATTGAAGGGATTTAAGTAGGGGAGTAACATCATCAGATTTTCATTTTAGAAAAATTATTTAGGTTGGGGAATGGAAATGGATTGGAGGGATTAAGATTGTGAGTAGAGAAATTAATGAAAAACTGATGTAATAATTAATCCATGGGAGAGATGATGGTAGCTAGGATTAAGGTAATGGCTATAGGACCTAAGAGAACTAGACGGAGTTGAGAGACATTTAGAAAGTGGATTAGACATGACTTTTAGTAGATAAAGGGAGATAAAGAGTTTGATTTTTGTTAGATGTATCTATTATTAGGTATCCATTTCCATGTCCTTATCTGTAGTACCGATGATCTGTGAATAGAAATAGTTTGAACAGTGCAAAGGAAGAAGCTCTAAGATACTTAAGGTAGTTCGCTTAAATTACAGTTCATTCACATAGCTGATTTAGAGTAATATATTTTATTCCAGATCTAAAACTATCCAAGAAATCATATTTTACCCTCAAGATTTTACCTTTGTTGTATTATGGAGCTTAAACATTTTAATTTTTCTATATTTAATACCTCAAATCAATGCTAATATTTATTTTAGAAATAATGACTGTTTTAATAGACGTAAATATACAATGCAGGTAAGTCTACTATCAAGATAACACTCATTGATGTGCATATATTCAAATGATATAGTATTGATTTGGCCCTACAGAATGAAAAGTAACAGCTTGCCGCACTGTGCTTCCCTTTCCAACACTATGAAATGCTGTTAATATTATCTCAGTTTTCAAGGCAAAAATTTATATGCATTCTATATTCTTTCTTTTGAATTTGCATAAAAGGAATCTTGCGAGACCCATTGTGTCCCTGCTTTATATATTTAATATATCTGGGACTTTTATCCTAACAACACAGATCTACTTCATTCATTTTAGCACTTGTACCACTCTATCATGGTATATGGATGTATCTTATTTTTTTTAACCAGGTCTTAATGATTATCTTTAGGTTATTTCCAGTTTTTTGTTTATTATAAACAAAGCTACAGTGAACATGCTTGTACTGATATCATGTTATCTGTACAGTTATTTCCATAGATTTGTGGAAATAAACAATCATGCAAATGAGAACAGACTTTTTACCCAGAGCTTGCTATAATAAAGGAATTTTGTGTTTGGCAGTGACTCAGATTCAGGCAGGGGAGTGATAAAGTTTTATGGTAGAGAAAGTGGATGGCTTTCATGTATGCCTGATGGAAGTTGCTGGCAGGAGGAAGTGCAAGGTGGGCTCACAAGAAGCTGGGCATCTTACGTGGTTGGTTTGGGGAACACATTTGACTTTCACTAGTTGGTCCTGAGTCTCTCAGGTTGCACTTCCTCTTGGTGGAATACCAGGGTCAAAACGTGTGTGTGTGTGTGTGTGTGTGTGTGTGTGTGAGTTCTAATAAATATTAAATATGCCTATTTCTCTTCTGTCCCTTCCAGCTTAAGGTTTTGTCCAACTTTAAAATGTTTGCCAATCTGATAGGTAAAAATTAATGCACATATAAAAATTTATGCATGTTCTTCTATTATTTTAGATATCTAGAATTATTTATTAGAATAATTATAAGCTTATGAACAGGCTGTTATATAGTTATCTTCATGGCAGAAGTGGTTCATAATTCAGTACAACAAAAAATAGTTTTATGTTTATGAGATTTTTGACTAACTGATACGCTATAACCATTGTTGAAAAATCACAGTAAACTGAAAGTTTATAAAATTGAAGTTTACTGAGTTTTAAGTAATAACTTGAGTTTTAGGCTTATTTGTAAAGTTTTCAGAGTCTTAGCCTTTCTTAAATACTTTAAATGTGATTTACTTGATTTGTAAAGAAAAACTGGCTTTTTCATATGTGGTTTTAAAATAGTACTGTGAATTTCAGTGATTATCTTTTTAAAATTGGTAACCAGCTATATTTCTTTAAGAGGTTTCAAGTTTGTATTCTTTAGAAATCTAATTGTATGTTCATCTTCTATACATGAAGTTCGTTATTTTATCTTGAATATTTTTTTATCTTTCATAATATTCTCTTTATCTTTCATAATATTTTCCTTTTCAGTTTCGTTGGCTTCATAAAAACCAAGCATCCAAATTATCTTTTTTGAGTATATTTTGTATTCTCTTAGCTACTCAAAATGACACGTTTAAAATTTTTGTTTAGGTTTGCATGAATTTGATGCCTTGAAGGATCCTGAGGTGAATGAATTCCGAATAAAAATGCGCAGATTCAGTGAGGAAAAGATTCAGTCGCTTGTGGGATTGTCTTGGATGGATTGGCTAAAGCAAACCTATCCACCAGAGCATGAACCATCCATTCCTGAAAATTTAGAAGATAAACTTTACGGAGGAAAGCTCATTGTGGCTGTTCATTTTGAAAATTGTCAGGTAGTATTATATTATTTTAAGAAATACTTTATAATAAATTTGTGAATTTTACCAGAATGCAGCACCAATGTTAGAGGAGGCTGTTGCTCACCTAGTAAAGACTGACATAGATCATTTTTAGATTTAAGATGGAAATATATTTAGGATTATATGTGACAACCTAAAGTGACACATCCTTTGCACATATATGGTTTTTTGATGCATTTTTGTCTAGATTGGGGTCTGCAAACTGCAGTGGTTTTGAATGGTTTTTATATTTTTTGTGGGATGTAAAAAACTCAAAGAATTTTGAAGGATGTTAAAAAGAAAAGAAAGAAGAATATGCGACAGATACTCACATGTTGTTAGCAAAGGCTAGTTCTTTAGAGAAAAAGTTTGCCAACGCCTGGTACAGATAATGTTGTTTAATGTAGATATAATTTTATTTTCTCATGTGATTTTTCTCTTGTCTATAAAATGAAAGGTTTGATCAAAGAGCTCTTTCTTTCCATTTTCTTACATTTGCATTCTGTGGATACGTGAACTAAGTGCTGGTTCGGAATTGGGCATTATAATAGAGTGTATATACAGTTAATCTGTATCTGAATGTTCATAGCAGTTTTACAAACTAGATTATGCTACTGCCTTTGTATGAAGTGTGCTCATTTTATCATCTAGTCTCTGGCCTTGGAATTAGGGTAGGAGTACAAGGATATTTTGTTTTGTTCTTCAGTTACTGTGATAACAATAACAAAACCTTTATCAGTAGCTCTTCTATGTTGAGCACTTTACTATGCCAGAAATTATGAAAGGTATTTTTGAAATATATTCTCTACTTCTCACAACAACCCAATAAAGTGTTGTTATTTTAACCCCATTTTATAGTGAAGAAACTGAAAGGGAGAGAAGTTTGAGTTCTTTTGTGCCCTGCTTCATAGGTGGTCAGTGGTACAGCCAGGATTTTTTCCAGGTGTTTCTCATTTTATCAAGTCGGCCTCCTTGCCAAAAACACGTTATTAAGTATTTGTTAGGTCAGATGTAAAAAAAGGATCCTACATTCAGGCATTTTGCAAAGGAAGTTTGTCTAGAGAAAAAAAAAAAGAAAACAATTTGCCACTCTATACTGAGATATGTTGAGACTCAAGTTCAATTTAAGCCGAGAATTGGATATCATAAAGTGTAAAGATCAAATTTAAAATACCATTTAAGGAATTCTGCATTGTTGAAAGAGTTGAAATAGGGAATTTTACTGTTAAAAGGTGATTAGAATTCAACTTGAAAATACCTGCTCCGGGCAGTTTGTCCATCTAGGTCAGTTTGAATTTCATCACATATGGGTCAAACCTCTACTGGATATACAAATTTTAATGTGATCATCATTGTAACAAAGTATATGTGAAAAGAAGTGTTTTGAAGTTAGAAGAGAAATATAGATGTAAAATCTTATTGGATTCAAGCAGTCATAGAACTTAACAGTGAAAGGAGTTTAGACATCATCTAGGCAGACTCTATATAACATAATAATTCTTTTCACCATCCTTTATATCCTGTGTCTCTAACCAAATGCATCCAGTTGCTATGGGAGCCCTCTGCCTACCGAAGTAGCATGTTTTCACTGTGAGCAAGCACACATTTAAATTTTGAATTAAAGAAATTAAATTCAAACTAGCTTTCTGTGACTTCTGCTCATCTGGTTATACTTTCTTATTTAATATGTATCCATTCAATCTCCCTTTATTCTACATGCCAGATATTCAGATAATTGGAATATAGCTATCATATGTCTCCTTAGTCTCCTTTTCTTTTGGCTAAATACTTCCCAGGGATTAAACCAAAAATTCTTAGAGTTTTTGATCATACAGAATAGTAAATTTTTAAGTCATGAAATAATTTTAGGAAGTCACATAGAGTTTATAGATTTTTTTAAAAAATAAATTTATTTATTTTATTTATTTATTTTTGGCTGTGTTGGGTCTTTGTTGCTGGGTGCGGGCTTTCTCTAGTTGCGGCGAGCGGGGGCTACTCTCCATTGTGGTGCACGGGTTTCTCATTGCGGTGGCTTCTCTTGTTGTGGAGCATGGGCTCTAGGCACGCGGGCTTCAGTAGTTGTGGCACGTGGGCTCAGTAGTTGTGGCTCGCAGGCTTAAGTTGCTCCGCGGCATGTGGGATCTTCCCGGACCAGGGCTTGAACCCGTGTCCCCTGCGTTGGCAGGTGGATTCTTAACCACTGCACCGCCAAGGAAGCCCAAGTTTATAGATTTTTATTTAGGCTATTATTGCTTTAAAAAAAACCAAACCCCATACCATAATTTATTGCCAGCACTATTTCATAAGTGAATAAACATTTTACCATCAAAAAATAGGAATGACAGAATCTCAAAATAAAGGATGTTTGGCAACTGACTCCATCATACATGCATCTCCCCGCCCACCCCCCCCCTCAAATTCTTTAAATTCTCATTTGGCCATTTCACCATCACTGCTGATAACCAGCATTGGGAAGCAGCATGTGGGAACACTAAACTAAAAATGAGATGAACTGTAACAAGGTATTCATTTAGGTTAAAAAATGATTTTCCAGGATTGGTAGGGGGAAAGAAAATTTACTGGAAATTAAATGTAAAGGATGTACATGTATAAACATTATGTATAGTTGTGTACACTGTAGTACTTAATAATAAGTACAAATGTAAAGAGTGATTTTTTTTTCCAGTGTAAATACAAAATTGCTTCTTTTTTCTACCCCCGTTTTTAGGATGTGTTTAGCTTTCAAGTATCTCCTAATATGAATCCTATCAAAATAAATGAATTGGCAATCCAAAAACGTTTGACTATTCATGGGAAAGAAGATGAAGTTAGCCCCTATGACTATGTGTTGCAAGTCAGTGGGAGAGTAGAATATGTGTTTGGTGATCACCCACTAATTCAGTTCCAGGTATGTGTTTTAACTATCAATTTAACATTTATTTACATTTAGTCATGAATTCTTTGTGTAGATGTTTTATGCAGGGAATTGATGTGCCTCAGGTTATTTTTGGAGTATAGTGGAGTTTAAATAAGATATGTGCATTGTGACACCCCTTCCCCCAGCGTAAGGTATGCTATTTAAAGAAGCTTTGCCTTCAAGGAACTTGAGGATATTTTTGTTGAAATTACATTTGGAGACCAAAAAATGGTTGTTACATAAAGAATACTGGGTTAAGTGCCAAGTTAGAGGTAAATAGTAACAGAATTTTAGGAAAATATGTGATTACTCTTTCTTTAAAAATTTATTTTATTTATTTATTTTTGGCTGCATTGGGTCTTCCTTGCTGCGCTCAGGCTTTCTCTAGTTGCAGCAAGTGGGGGCTACTCTTCGTTGCGGTGTGTGGGCTTCTCATTGCCATGGCTTCTCTTGTTGTGGAGCACAGGCTCTAGGTGCATGGGCTTCAGTAGTTGTGGCACACAGGCTCAGTAGTTGTGGCTCGTGGGCTCTAGGCTCATGGACTTCAGTAGTTGTGGCGCATGGGCTTAGTTGCTCTGCGGCATGTGGGATCTTCCCTGACCAGGGCTTGAACCTGTGTCCAGAGAGGAAGAAGGAAGATGAAAAGTGCTTGGTGGTAGCATCTAAGTACTGACTTCTTCCCTTCATGTTCTGCCATCTTTTTTTTTTTTTTTTTTTTTTTTTTTGGTTATGGGGCCTTTCACTGTTGTGGCCACTCCCGTTGCGGAGCACAGGCTCCAGACGCGCAGGCTCAGCGGCCATGGCTCACGGGCCCAGCTGCTCTGCGGCATGTGGGATCCTCCCGGACCGGGGCACGAACCCGCGTCCCCTGCATCGGCAGGCGGACTCTCAACCACTGTGCCACCAGGGAAGCCCTCTACCATCTTTTAAGTAGGCTCCTGCTTCTTTAATTTAACACTTTTTTTAAAAACCTTAATAGGAGGAAAGTACATTGTTTTGCTCAAACTGGAATTTGTTATTACAAAGAAAACTAAAGACGTGTGTTTTTTGTACAAGGTCATGTGAGAAAGAAAATATACAATGAAGGTGAAGGAACCTGAAGGAAATGAAATGATACATCTTTCATAGTGAAAAGTTTTTGAATGAATTTATTTATCATAGTATCATGTTAACTCCCACTTATAGGCCATTCTGGAAATTTTTTTTTTTTCCAGAAGTGTATTTTCAGTGGTTCTGAATTGAATACAATATACTGAGTCACACTTTATATCTGTATAGGAAATTTATTATAGTGAGGAGTACATTGGATTTCTATTCATTATGTTAGGAATCTTTGGTAATGTGAATAACCACCCCTCTTCTTATATGCCTCTGGAGAATCATCCTGGTTTCATGGAAATGAAACAGCATCAAGCTCAAATGGCCAGTAAGTTTTTGAATGAAAGGCAGTAATGGGTGCCTGGAGGCCTGTGCTGAAAAGGTGCCAGGTCTGCCTCAGGGATCCATGGAAATGTGGCCACCTCAGGACTTATAAAAAATGGCCACATGTGTACTACATATTCACCTTTCCTGACTTACTGGTCAGAGGTGGCAATGTGGCATCACAGTCTATGACGATCAAGTCCTGCCCCTGGAAAGGTGTGCCAGTTGGTGATACTGTCAGGTCTTAAGTGCAGAGAAGAGAAAATAAAACATCTATACTGTGGCACATATTTCTCCAAAGTTTAGCGAACAGAAAAGAAGTCAGACAAATGGATTTAAATCCAGGTGTTAAAGATACTAGCTGTGTAATTTAGCTTTCTGATTTTCATTTCTTTAGTCTATTAAAAGGGGAAAATCTGTCTTTGAGAGTTATGAAGATTAGCTCTAACATATAAGAAGTATCTAGTTCAGTTCTCAGGTATGTAGATGTTCAATTAATTGTAGCAATTTTATGTTGTGATTTTTATTGCTCATATTCTTGACATTGAGTTGTTATTTAAGATACTCTTTCACAGTGCATTTGTTCTAGTGTTGTTCAGCTTAATTTTATGCTTCTGTTGATTTAAGTTTTGCTTGAAAATCCTTACCTTATTCTTTCTTGCCACTGTAGTATATCCGGAACTGTGTAATGAATAGGACCTTGCCCCATTTTATACTTGTGGAATGTTGCAAGATCAAGAAGCTGTATGAACAGGAAATGATTGCCATAGAGGCTGCCATAAATCGAAATTCATCTAACCTTCCTCTTCCTTTACCACCAAAGAAAACTCGAATTATTTCTGTAAGTTTCACGTGTGAACCTTTGGTAACCCCAGAAGGCACGCGATTTTTTTGGTTAGGTTGTATGCTTAAGCCTCACACGTATATTCTTTGCTCACTTTTCCTTCTGTGGAAAATGCATATTTTCCACAGAATATTAATATGAATTAATATTAATATTCCACAGAATATTAATGCATATTTGCCAAAGATCCATCACCATTTATTAGTAATTATCTTTTTAGCTACCCTTCTTTTTCCTTACTCAGGCTACATATGATTGTAAACAGGCCATTTATGTTTTCGTTTATCTTTTGGTGCTAAAGAAAAATGCCCTCAAATTTGAGATATTTTGAGATTAGAGCTAAATGGGACTTCAAAGAGCAAGTTGAGCATTCTAGTAGAAAAGTTAGATGTGCAGAGACAGTTGATTTTCTGGTATATCTCATTTCTTTCAGTTTATCTATAATAGTGTTTTGGTATAATGTGTCTGTTTTCTTCTTTCTTTCTTATTGAATACTTTTAGACTTTAAATGTAACAAAGCCATCATTTTTTTCTTGAATGTAATATATTTGTATAAAGCAAATCTTAAGTTTGTATTCATTAGAACACAACAGTTTTAAAATAGTTCTTCAGTCTTAAGAAATTGAATGTTTAACCATTCCTTGATGATTAAGTTATTATCTTTATATTAATTTATTGGTCAATTCTTAATTTATGCAAAACTTTTAATACTATTTTTTAATGGTGTTTAGTGAATTTCTTAGCAATACTGGAATGCTGCCTGTTTTGCCTTGAGAACTAAGTGCTAGTGGTTGTGATGGTTAATTTAATATATGTGATTTTCAGTTGTTAGTTCAGAGGTGTATTTTCATTACTTTACCAATGGAAATGAGAACTGATAAGGCGATTTCATTGCTAGCATAGAATATTCATTTCTTTCGTTAAAATACTCTGTTTATTTCATTTTTTTACAGCATGTTTGGGAAAATAACAACCCTTTCCAAATTGTCTTGGTTAAGGGAAATAAACTTAACACAGAAGAAACTGTAAAAGTGAGTACTTGTTAAGATTTGAATTTATCTTCAGCTCCATTATTTGAATAAGTCACTGATATGCTCAGTGAAAGTCACATTGGAGACGAATTTTACCCATATTGGTTAACTACAGGAGATAGAGTATGGTATATAGGACAATTAAGAATTTTTGTTTTAAAATATTCTTTGAATAGTTTGAGATGTACTGGATAGATTGACATTTTCCCAGTGTATATTATGGAAAAGAAATGGGTTTAGATCAAGAATTCAGCAAGTGAAATTTAAGCCAAACCTATAAGTCACAAGTTTCTGTGCAGGCTTACTCTCTTTTCTCAGCTTTGCTTAGAGCTGCACAATAGCCTCTCTTACCCCCTCCCCCCTTTTTTTTCCATTTAAACTTGCTGAAAACACAGAAAATGTAATATTTTTTCCTGAAATAAAATACATGACTCTGTTGTAGACCACAACTTGTTAACACATGAGGATTTATTGCACCACCCCTACAGTTAAGACTTAACAAGGCATTTTGTCTGAAAGTGTAAAGCATACATTTTCCTCTATTTAGCTTGGCAGGAAATTAAATGAATAGTTTTGTGATCCAAGAAAGAGATTCAGTTAGTTTAAGATGTTTGCTGGCATGAGGATATATTCAGGAGCACCTTGCCAAAGATTACCAGTGGCTTGCTTTTATAAATGGACATTAAAGATTCTTTGGGTAGCTGTCATTAAAATAAGGGATTTTTTTCACTTTTATTCTTAGCTAGATTTTAATTCTTAATGAGTATCCTTATGGCCAATTAGCCTTTGTTTTCTATTTTAGTGGTAATTTAATTTTTCCCTTTAATTTAAGTTTTCTTTATTAATTTTTTCCAGTGGCAAAAGTATAGCATGATTGTTGCAACAGGCAAAAAAAGTCCAAACATTATTTAAGAAAAAAGCTGCTGATCTCTCCTCCCCATCTCTTTACCATCATATGGGATTCAAGGTCAATAGGCCTTGAGTGACCTCCATGTTTATACAAATATATATACACGTATGGTTTATACAAATATATATAAACATATGGTTGTGTTTATTTTGTTGATTGGTCGGTTTCTTAAAGAAAAGGGATGATGTTATATATATTTATTCTATAATTTGATTTCTTCACTTTATATCTTGGATGGTCCTCTGGATTATTAAATATTTAGTAGAGTTCCTCGGGAATTATATTTCTTTTTTTTTTAATGGTTTTTGGTTTTTTTTGACATTTTATTTTTTTCATACACACACACTGTATTTTATTTTTACAAGAGATAAACTGACACCAAGCGTTGTAAATGGATGACCACAAAAGCAACAATGATTGCAATTACCAAACACGAAACACACTTATACAATGTCATAATACTGACATTCAGTCCAGTAATCCTCCACTGTAACAGCTCCTTTACTTTGCAGTGAAAATTGATTTGTATATTTTTTGCCTCTGAGTCCTTGTGGGATTTTTTTTTTTATTCAAACAGAAAGTCACAAAAATTATAATCATCCTCATCAGTTCACCCAGTCCCATGTAATTAATTTTTTTTCATCTTGATCTTTTGTTAGCACTTTTATTAATTCATCAGTTTTCCATTAGAGTTCTGAAAATGCTTATTCATTCAGTTCAGTAGTATAGTCAGTTACCAGAAACCTGTACTTGTCAGAGTCTTTTCCATGAATTCCTTGAAGATGAAACCCCTTTATAGGAACATTTTTGTGAAAGCATCAGACTATACCCAGAACTGTCTGTAAATGACCAAAGACTTAAAAATGACCACGGTTAAAGATTTGATGAGAGTTCATAATAATGCAATTGACAAGGAAATTTAGTTATTTCTGAGATACATATTTTAAAGTAATAACTAGAATTATGACTGTAACATTATACCAGAACGTATAAGATTTTTAGAAATTTCATGTAATGCCTGAAACATTTATATTAACATATTTCCATACAAATAACCTAAAGAAAGTTTAATATTAGTTGTTTTTTGTTTGTTTGTTTATACTGCAGGTTCTTATTAGTCATCAGTTTTATACACATCAGTGTATACACGTCAATCCCAATCGTCCAGTTCAGCACACCGCCATCCCCACCCCACCACGGTTTCCCCCCTTGGTGTCCATACGTTTGTTCTCTACATCTGTGTCTCAACTTCTGCCCTGCAAACCAGTTCATCTGTACCATTTTTCTAGGTTCCACATACATGCGTTAATATACAATATTTGTTTTTCTCTTTCTGACTTACTTCACTCTGTATGACAGTCTCTAGATCCATCCACGTCTCAACAAATGACTCAATTTCGTTCCTTTTTATGGCTGAGTAATATTCCATCGTATATATGTACCACAACTTCTTTATCCATTTGTCTGTCAATGGACATTTAGGTTGCTTCCATGACCTGGTTATTGTAAGTAGTGCTGCAGTGAACATTGGGGTGCATGTGTCTTTTTGAATTATGGTTTTCTCTGGGTATATGCCCAGTAGTGGGATTGCTGGATCATATCCTTTAGTTTTTTAAGGAACCTCCATACTGTTCTCCACAGTGGCTGTATCCATTTACATTCCCACCAACAGTGCAAGAGGGTTCCCTTTTCTCCACACCCTCTCCAGCATTTGTTGTTTGTATATTTTCTGATGATGCTCATTCTAACTGGTGTGAGGTGATACCTCATTGTAGTTTTGATTTGCTTTCTCTAATTATTAGTGATGTTGAGCAGCTTTTCATGTACTTCTTGGGCATCTGTATGTCTTCTTTGGAGAAATGTCTATTTAGGTCTTCTGCCCATTTTTGGATTGGGTTGTTTGTTTCTTTAATATTGAGTTGCATGAGCTGTTAATATATTTTGGAGATTAATCCTTTGTCCGTTGATTCGTTTGCGAATATTTTCTCCCATTCTGAGGGTTGTCTTTTCGTCTGTTTATGGTTTCCTTTGCTGTGCAAAAGCTTTGAAGTTTCATTGGGACCCATTTGTTTATTTTTGTTTTTATTTCCATTACTCAAGGAGGTGGATCAAAAAAGATCTTGCTGTGGTTTATGTCAAAGAGTGTTCTTCCTATGTTTTCCTCTAAGAGTTTTATAGTGTCCGGTCTTACATTTAGGTCTTGAATCCATTTTGAGTTTATTTTTGTGTATGGTGTTAGGGAGTGTTCTAATTTCATTCTTTTACATGTAGCTGTCCAGTTTTCTCAGCACCACTTATTGAAGAGTCTGTCTTTTCTCCATTGTATATCTTTGCCTCCTTTGTCATAGATTAGTTGACCATAGGTGCGTGGGTTTATCTCTGGGCTTTCTATCTTGTTCCATTGATCTACGTTTCTCTTTTTGTGCCGGAACCATATTGCCTTGATTACTGTAGCTTTGTAGTATAGTCCGAAGTCAGGGAGTCTGATTCCTCCAGCTCCGTTTTTTTCTCTCAAGACTGCTTTGGCTATTCGGGGTCTTTTGTGTCTCCTTACAAATTTTAAGTTGATTTGTTCTAGTTCCATAAAAAATGCCACTGGTAATTTGATAGGGATTGCATTGAATCTGTAGATTGCTTTGGGTAGTATAGTCATTTTCACAATATTGATTCTTCCAATCCAAGAACATGGTATATCTCTCCATCTGTTGGTATCATCTTTAATTTCTTTCATCAGTGTCTTATAGTTTTCTACATACTGGTCTTTTGTTTCCCTAGGTGGGTTTATTCCTAGGTATTTTTTTGTTGCTGTTGCAGTGGTAAATGGGAGTGTTTCCATAATTTCTCTTTCAGATTTTCATCATTAGTGTATAGGAATGCAAGAAATTTCTGTGCATTAATTTTGTATCCTGCAACTTTACCAAATTCATTGATTAGCTCTAGTAGTTTTCTGGTGGCATCTTTAGGATTCTCTATGTATAGTATCATGTCATTTGCAAACACTGACAGTTTTACTTCTTCTTTTCCAATTTGTATTCCTTTTAATTCTTTTTCTTCTGTGATTGCCGTGGCTAGGACTTCCAAAACTATGTTGAATAATAGTGGTGAGAGTGGACATCCTTGTCTCCTTCCTGATCTTAGAGGAAATGCTTTCAGTTTTTCACCATTGAGAAGGATGTTTGCTGTGGGTTTGTCATATATGGCCTTTATTATGTTGAGGTAGTTTCCCTCTATGCCCACTCTCTGGAGAGTTTTTATCATAAATAGGTGTTGAATTTTGTCAAAGCCTTTCTCTGCATCTTTTTCTGACATGATCATATGGTTTTTATTGTTCAATTTGTTAATATGGTGTATCACATTGATTGATTTGTGTATATTGAAGAATCCTTGCATCCCTGGGATAAATTCCACTTGATCATGGTGTATGATCCTTTTAATGTGTTGTTTGATTCTGTTTGCTGGTATTTTGTTGAGGATTTTTGCGTCTATATTCATCAGTGATATTGGTCTGTAATTTTCTTTTTTTGTAGTATCTCGATGTGGTTTTGGTATCAGGGTGATGGTGGCCTCATAGAATGAGTTTGGGAGTGTTCCTTCCTCTGCAATTTTTTGGGAGAGTTTTAGAAGGACGGGTGTTATCTCTCTTCTAAATGTTTGATTGAATTCACCTGTGAAGCCATCTGGGCCTGGGCTTTTGTTTGTTGGAAGATTTTTAATCACAGTTTCAATTTCATTACCTGTGATTGGTCTGTTCATATTTTCTATTTCTTCCTGGTTCAGTCTTGGAAGGTTATACCTTTCTAAGAATTTGTCCATTTCTTCCAGGTTGTCCGTTTTATTGGCACAGAGTTGCTTGTAGTAGTCTCTTAGAATGCTTTGTATTTCTGCGTTGTCTGTTGTAACTTCTCCTTTTTCATTTCTAATTTTATTGATTTGAGTCCTCTTCCTCTTTTTCTTGATGAGTCTGGCTAATGGTTTATCAATTTTGTTTATCTTCTCAAAGATCCAGCTTTTAGTTTTATTGATCTTTGCTCTTGTTTTCTTTGTTTCTATTTCATTTATTTCTGCTCTGATCTTTATGATTTCTTTCCTT